TCAAACTCCTGACCTCAAGTGATCCACTTGCCTGAGCCTACCAAACTGCTGGGATTACAGGTATCAGCCACTGAATCTGGCCTCAATTTTACTTTTTTGTTTTGTCTTTCATGAGGATGGTGTCTTGTTATGTTGCCTAGATTGGTCTCAAAATCCTGAGCACAAGCAATGCTCCTGCCTCAGCCTCCCAAAGTGCTGGGATTAAAGGCATGAGGCAGCACTGCACTTGGCCTGAAATCCACTTTAAATATAAAGACACAAATAGATTAAAAGCAAAAAGATGGAAAAAGATATACTATGTTAACACTAGCCAAAAAAAATCTGGAGTGGCTATATTAATATTAGACAAACTAAGTTTCAGCTAAAAAAGTTATAAAAAGATGATTTTATAATGAAAAATAGGTCAATTCATTGAGCAGACGTAGCAATCCTAAATGTTTACACATCCAAAAACGGAGCTTCAAAATACATAAAGCAAGAAGAGAAAGAATTGGCAGAAGAAATTAACAATTCACAATTTTAGCTGGAGATTTAACAACCCATACTCAGTAACTGATAGAACAAGTAGCAGAAAATCAAGCTATCAATTAATTAATCAAAATAATTATTTAAGATCAATAAAATAATTAATCAAAAATAATTGCTTAATCAAAAAATAACTATTTAAAATCAGGCCAGGCATGGTGGCTTATGCTTATAATTCCAGAACTTTGGGAGGCCAATGCAGGTGGACCACTTGAGGTCAGGAGTTTGAGACCAGCCTGGCCAAAATGGTGAAACCACATCTCCACTAAAAACGTAAAAATTAGCTGGCTGTGGTGGTAGGTGCCTGTAATCTCAATTACTTGGGAGGCTGAGGCAGAATTGCTTGAACCCGAAAGGCAGAGGTTGCAGTGAGCCGAGATTGTGCCACTGCACTCCATCCTGGGTGACAGAGCGAGACTCCATCTCAAAAAAAATATATTTGTTGTTATTTAAGATCAATAAAATTTCTAAATCTCTAGCCACACTGATCAGGAAAAAAAGAGAGAAGACACAAATTCCCAACTTCAGGCATAAAAGAGGTGACTCACTACAGCGTCCATAGACATTAAAAGAGTGATCAAGGAAAACCGCAAATAATTTACCAATAAATTTGACAACTTAGATAAAGTGGACAAATTCCTTGAAAGACACAAAAGCTCACACAAGAAGAAATAGATAACTTAAGTAGCCGTATGTCAATTAGACAAATTGAATTTGTAGTTAGCCTTCCCACAAATAAAAACTAGGCCCAGCTTAGTGATAGCTTCACTAGTGAATTCTATCAAATATTAAGAAATAAAAAAACACTATTTCTATACAAAATCTTTCCAGGTCATTCTCTGAGGCCATAATTACCCTGATACTGAAACCAGATGACAACAAAACAGGGAGAAAAACCCACAACTTCTGACTAACATCTTTCACAAACACTGATGCAAATACCCTTAATTTATCTTAGCAAATCAAACCCAATAATAAATTTGAAGGATAACATATCATCAAGAGGTTTTATTATTCCAGGAATGCAGGTTGGTTTAACGTTACAAAATTAATGTAATTCACCATATTAACAAACCAAAAAAAGAAAAATTATATCATCTCAATAGACGCACAAAAAACATTTGACAGTTGGCAGCTTTCATTACTTATAAAAACACTCAGTAGCTGGGTGTGGTAGCTTACACCTGTAATCCCAGCACTTTGGGAGGCTGAGGTGGGAGGATCTCTTGAGGCTAGGAGTTCAAGACCAGCCTGGGCAACATAGGGAGATGCCCCCATCCCAAACCTATCTCCAAAGAATTAAAAAAAAAAAAAAAAAAAGTTAGGCATGACGGCAACACACCTGAAGTCCCAGCTACTGAGGAGGCTGAGGCAGGAGGATTGCTTAAGCCAAGGAGTTGGAAGCTGCAGTGAGCTATGATTGTGTCACTGCACTCCAGATTGGACAACAGAGTGAGACGTCATTTTTAAAATTTTTATTATTAGTTTTGGAGATAGGGTCTCACTCTGTCATCCAGGCTGTAGTACAGTGGTGCAATCACATTCCACTGCAACCTTGACCTCCTAGGGTCAAGGTTGATCCTCCCACCTTAGCCTCCTGAGTTGCTGGGACTACAGGTGTGCACCACCATGCTTAGCCAATATTTAAAAATTTTTCGTAGAGATGGGGTTTCACCATATTGCCCATACTGGTCTCGAACTCCTTGGCTCAAGCAATCCACCCAACTTGGCCTCCTAAAATAGTGGGAATACAGGCATGAGCCACTATGCCTAGCCTGAGATCTTCTTTCTTAAAAATAACAAAAACAAACAAGTGCTTGCTTCGGCAGCACATATGGTAAAATGGGAATGACACGAAGACTAACATGGCCCCTGTGCACGGATGACACACACATTTGTGAAGAGTTTCATGTTTTTTTAAAAAACAAAACAACCACTCAACAAACTAGGAATAAAATAGAACTTCTCTCAACCTCAAGAGGGGCATCTATAAGAATTTCACAGCCAACATCACACTTCTGGAATCAAGCTTAATGGTCCACTCTCACCATAACTCCGTGTACTGGAGATTCTGGTCAGTGGAATCAGGCAAGGAAAAAACAAAACAGAAAGGCATCAAGAATAGAAAGGAAGGAAAGAAATGGTCTTTATTTACAAACGGCAAATTTGTCTATGTTGAAAATTCAATTAGATCTACAAAGCTATTTACCAGAGGAACTAAGTTTGTAAGATACAAGTTCAATATACAAAAATGAGTTTTATTTCTCCATACTAGCAACAAACCATACTATACCACATTCAATAGCATCAAAATGAAGTACTCAGGAAAAATGAGACAAGGCCGGCCGCAGTGGCTTACGCCTGTAATCCCAGCACTTTGGGAGGCCAAGGAGGGCAGATCACCTGAGGTTGGGAGTTCAAGACCAGCCTAACCAACATGGAGAAACCTTGTTTCTACTAAAAATACAAAATTAGCTGGGCGTGGTGGCACATGCCTTTAATCCCAGCTACTTGGGAGGCTAGAGCAGGAGAATTGCTTAAACCCGGGAGGTAGAGGTTGCAGTGAGCCAAGATTGCAGCATTGCACTTCAGCCTGGGCAATGAGAGCAAAACTCCGTCTCAAAAAATAAAAATAAAATAGAAAGAAAGAAAAAGAGACAAAAGATATGAAAGACATATAACAAAAACTACAAAATATTGCTTAGAGAAGAGTAAGAACACCTAAGTAAATGCAGAGACATTATCTTGTTTGTGGGTTGGAAGTTTATATATATATATATATATGACATATAACAAAAACTACAAAATATTGCTTAGAGAAGAGTAAGAACACCTAAGTAAATGCAGAGACATTATCTTGTTTGTGGGTTGGAAGTTTATATATATATATATATATATATAT